AGCTAATCAACTGTCTCACTTATCCAGAGGGCCTGCTCCAGTTCCATGGGGGCTCCTCAGCCATTGGTTCACAGTTCATGCATTTCCACTAGTTTGACTATTTGTTCCTGGGATTTCTTTCATTTAACTAGAAATAATCATCAAAAACAAAAGGAAAAAAAAAAAGACAAATGTGCTGGCTAGTTTCAAGTCAACATGACACAAGCTAGAGTCATCTGAAAGAAGGGAGCCACAATTGAGAAAATGCTTCTGTAAGATCAGGCTGCATGCAAGCCTACAGGGAATTTTCTTAGTGACTGATGTGGAAGGGTCCAGAACATCGTGGGTGGGGCCACCCCTGAGCTGGTAGTCCTGTGTTCTATAAGAAAGCAGACTAAGCAAGCCATGGTGAGCAAGGCAGTAAGCAGCACCCCTCTATGGTCCCTACATCAGCTCATGCCTCTGGGTTCTGCCCTGTTTGAGTTCCTGCCCTGACTTCCCTTCAAAGTATAAGCCACATAAACCCTTTCCTCTCCAGCTTGCTTTTGGTCATGGTGTTTCATAACAGCAATAGTAACCCTAACTGGGACAACAAAGATAAACAATGAGCCCTTTCTGTCTTAGATTATCCAGAACTTATCTACCAGAATTATCCTGGACAAGTTATTTCAGTTCTTTGAGCCTATTTCCTTACCTAGAAAATATAGTTCTCTACTCCAGGAGTATATGTATCAGTAAGAACACAAAAATAAGAGAAAACATTGTGTCCAGCCTACAAAGAATTATTCAACAAATACATTCTCTCCCAACACTTATATCCAATCTCTTTTACAACTGACATTAGTTGTTCTGATTTACTCTAACTTCACACCATTCACACTTACTCTCATCTTGCAGTAACCATTGTATTTCAATGAGGCCATCCAATTAGCAAAAACAGACCCAGCAAGGGGCATAAAATACAGTAAAATTCACCTGCATTTTCATTTTTTTTCAAAGATTTAGCTATTTATTACATATACATATTCTCATTACAGATGGTTGAGAGCCACCATGTGGTTGCTGGGAATTGAACTCAGGACCTCTGGAAGAACAGTCAGTGCTCTTAACCACTGAGCCATCTCTCTAGCCCAAACCTGCATTTTCAAAGAGCACCCCACTTCCAGGAAGTCTCCTATAGCAACATAACTGGTAAGTCGGTTGCCATTAGAATGTGAATAGCATGCTGAGTTCCACCTAAGCAGAGATTTGCAGATTTCAATCAATATAAGAAATGTATCCATGAAGATAAAAAGATACTGAATAAGCATTTCTCTACTCCATCCACTTCTAGGATACCTATAGGTAAAAAACTTAAATACCTTCCATAAAAAAAAAATTCTAAAATTTGCAACTATGGTTTAACGATAAAAATTTAGACTTTGAACATTCTGTTCACTGGTGCTCTGTGGCAGGTATACAGAAAACATCACCCATGTGAATATTAACTTGATTTCTCTTTGGCAGAAAACAAGGTCCAACTAATGAGAAAAAGGTTGGTAGCCCCAACCTCTCCCAGCAAGCATGCAAATAAAATCAGTAGGACCACAGATTATCTAGTCACAGAATTCAGAGTCATTATCTAAGAGTTCATCTTCAGTTCTTACTCCTTTATAGTAAGTTCTCTGAAATCTACATCCAAAATTTAAAATCCATCCCTTCCTTCTATCTGTAAGTACTTCACTTATTGGGCAACTGTTCTGTATTTCCTCAAACTGGTCTCTCTGTTTACAGTCTAGACTTTCTTTAATCCAAAGTTTTATAAATTAAAAGTGGCAAACATTTTTTAAAAAAACAAAACAAAAGACAATATAAGAATGTACTGAGCCTTTAATCCCAGCATTCAGGAGACAGAGACAGGCGGATCTCTGTGAGTTCCAGGACAGCCAGGACTATAAAGAGAAACCCTGTACTGAATGAATGAATGAATGAATGAATAAATAAATAAATAAATAAATAAATAAATGAAGGAAGGAAGGAAGGAAAATGGAAGAATGCATTACACACAGTAAAGATGTTATTTCACAAATATTTCAATCATAAACATGGCATATGTACTAACTTAACATGCTAAGTTTCAAATCCAGGACAAAAGGTTGAGGTGCCTATTTAACATATCAAAAGTGGACCTGGCAGCCAACTTCTCACAGCATCCCTCAGTTCCTACCTGTTACAGGATATGGCTCTCAGCGTACCCTGCCCTCTACCCTAAACTCTGCAGCCCAAGGGCTGGACTGCCCCTCCCCAAGAGGCTCTTCCCTATATAATCCAGACATTTTGGTTACCCACCCTCTTTGGACCTCTGGCCTCCTGGATGCTGCACCTGGTTCCCCTCTCTTCCCTCTCCCTCCCCCACATGCCCCAGCTCCATCTGGTCATGTCCACTCTGGACTCTCCCAGACATCCCTGCCTCTGACTATGCTCTCCCACATCTATAATAAACTTTCTCCTCCACCATACCTAGGAGCAGTCATGTCCTTTCCTTTCCTTTTTTTTTTTTTTCATTCATTACAGATATTACTGTGTACCAGAAAAATATTTACACTGTGGTCTGAAGTTTAAAAAGGCAAAAAGCTACTGCTTAACCCAGCTTTCTAAAACATTCACCAAATGTAGTCTCTTGCTTAAAAGCTTCCAGGAGGTCTATTAAATACAGAATAAAGTTTAAATTCCTTAAACTAGCACTTAAGTTTGTCCACAATAAAGCTCCCCTAAGTCTTCTGCAACCCCATGATCCAGTTCTAACTGTGTTTAGGTATACTGTTCCTTCTACCTGTGTTATTATACCCCCTCTTCATTCCTACAGCACATCCTATTGTTTCAAGACTTGGGTCAAGCCAGAAGCAGGAATGTACCTAATTAAGTACCTTTAATTTTTGTATTTGGGAGGCAGTGACAGACAGATCTGAGCTCCAGACTAACTCAAGGCTACAGAGTGAAATCTTATCTCAATAAATAAATAAGTAAATAAATAAATAGATAGATAGATAGATAGATAGATAGATAGATAGATAAAAGACTTGGTTCAATTCTGCTCCCTAGAAGTCCCAAGACAGACAAGTGTACACTACTTGTCCTAATCTCTGCCCAGCCTCTTATACTGTGGACCAATGCATTCTTTTGACAATGTTGTTGGCTCTGGGTGAAAGAACACAAGCTAGGCTTTTCTTCTATTCACTGAACATTTCTCTCAGAACTCCCCTAAAATGCTGGTGTGCCCAAAAGCTCTGTCCTTGGTCATTTTACTTTCTCTAAATATTTTCATGCTCTAAACCACACTTATAGCTTCCATTACTATTTTTATGCCAAGAACTCCTCATTTTTTCTAGCACAAATGTATTTCTTCTGAGATACAAAAAGACAGCATTCTCTCCAGAATCCATCCACTTCTGTTCCCTACGGCCTGTGTCAAAGTCTAAGTGCAAATTATCTCCCACCTAGACCAATGCAACTCCTTTAGTCTTGGGGTTTCAACCAATTTTTCTTTTCCATTTTTTATACACCAACCATAAAAAGGGTTCAAGAAACAAGTTTAATCTAGCTACCACCCACCCACCTACACACACACACACACTGAAAATCCTTTAATGGCCTCTCACTACCCTGAAAACAAAGTTCAAAGTCCTTAGTAATGTCCACAGTACTGTCTATACTTCAGTACAGTGGGATCAATCACTTTCTGCTATTTCTCCACAGCCCATCTCTCACTATTTCACCAATTATTCTATCTATGCACCAGCTGCACTTCTGAAATACTGCTTTACTCTTTCTTAGCCACGGTTTCTAGTATTCATAGTAAGTACCAAATCTTCTGGACTACCTCATAACTTGGTTAAGTACACATAACTCCTACCAAAACAATCGCGCCCTCAAGAACGAGAAAATCCATTCCTCTCTGTTACACATATTGGACTTGTGCTATTGTCTATCTCTCCTCATGGATTTCATGGTATGAAGGCAGAGACCAAGTTCCTCTTGTTCAACATCGTGTGCCAGGGACAAGTACAATGCCAGCAAGCTAAGACTAATAGTTCTACATTCTGAGAGTCAGCACCTGACTGTGTAAATTCCAACAGCTTTCTTTACGTCTTCTGGGGACTGAAGCGCTCTTCTGCTTCATATACACAGCTAGACTTCCTTAATAAGGCAATTTGTCTATCCAAGCTGAGGAAAGCATACAGGTGAGGTTCACCCGGTTAGCAACTGTCCACCAAAGTTTTCCACACTGCAAATGCCACTAGAAATTGTAGCCCTTCTCCCCAACGAGTGGCATCTAGTGATTGAACAAGGGGGCATCAGAGCGGTGATCAGGCAGGAGCGACTGGAGTCCCATGGTCCTCAAACTGAAACAAGGACAAAGATTTTTATTTTCCCACGTACCAAACGAGGTGGCGCTGCCTCTGTGCGGTCCCGCCCGCCCCGGGACGCAGGCTGGCGAGGACGGTGGGACCCTGAACTGTACGGGAGCGTCCTTGGGGTCGAGAACGCGCCTCTGCCTGCCGGGGAAGCTCCGGGAGTCCGAGGCAGCGGGCGCAGAAGTTCCAGCGGCACCCCAGCGGGGCCGCTTGCTGCAGGGCTCACAGCCGGGGCCCGCACTCATGCTGGGACCCGCAGCGCACAGTCCCCGGGCCGGCCCGGGCGGAGAGCCTCATTCACTAACCCTGACAGGGACGGACTGCGCCTTCTTCTTGGCGCCCCCCGCACCATTCCCACTCTGCGGCGGCCCGCTCCTGCGGCTGCTGCTCCTCGGGCCTCCGAGCCAGACCCTCCCTGCGCAGCCGCTTGCCTCCGCTCGGCCGCAGGGAGCCCACCTGCCCCGGACGCGCCGCTTCCACTCGGGTTTGGGCTCCGGCTCCGGCTCACTTTCCCACCACCGGAAAGCAGTAGTCCCGCGCTTCGGACTTCCGGGCCGTACACCGCCGCAAAGCGGAAGTGCCGTGCTTCACGGGAGCCGGCGCCCGGAAGGTCAGCGTGTGAAGGTGGCAGTAGCAACGCGGGTCTTCCCGCTGTTGCTGTGGGGACCACGGCCGAGCACACGACCCCGGCCTGAGGTGGTGGTGGGAAGCCCACCGCAGTTTGCTGCGACGTCATGGAGGGTGGCGGGGGAAGTGGCAACAAAACCACCGGCGGGTTGGCTGGCTTCTTCGGAGCGGGAGGAGCGGGTTACTCGCACGCTGACTTGGCCGGCGTTCCGCGTGAGTATCAGGCCTAGCTTGCTGCCCTTTCTGACTGCTTCCTGGGACGAGTAGAAATTTGTAGCGTTCCGTGGCCCTTTTCCTGCTCGCGTTCACGAGATTCACCGCCAGCGATGGGGTTTCAAGACAACGAATTTGGGGGGAGGGGAGGGTCGCATAAATCACCGGACACTCGTTTACTGACCTAGTTTCGGGAGGAAACACAATATGTCTTCCTTTAGCACCCCTGTCCCTTTTTTCTCGTCGCACGCTTTCCTGTGTGCTTGACCCTGGATTAGGAGACTCTAGATCCGTAAATAAACATATTCCACATAACACGCCCATAGTTAATTTTTTTTAAACGGTCTCTAAATATTTCTAAATTAGAAATATCAGTTAGGTGACTCCCCCCCCCCCCTTTTGAGACAATCCAGGAAACCAGAATGAGCTGGGAAGCTAGCTAAACTTTAAGAAATTTATAAACAAGAAAGAACCCAAACAAATTTTGGAAGGGAAATAAGCAAATGGGAAGCTACAGAGGCGTGAATATCCTGCCTGTTGGCCCTCCCCAATCCCGTGAGTATGTATTTTAGACTTAAGGTTTGGTTATAGATGGTTATTCAGCTGGATATATAGAACTTGGGTCTGAAGATAATAGGGAGTTGATGGTGAATAGCCTTTGTTAAAGTGGGTGTTTCCTCTTGATAATCCTTGTAGTATTTCTCGAAAACTTTTCCTTAAGAATATAAAGAAAGCCCTTTGATGACCCTATGTCTACTTTCAAAACTAAGTTCAGAACACAGTTTTGTGTGTCTTAGGTTTTTCTTTGCATAGAGAGAAAGGCACTACTTAATGTGACAAAGTAATTATTGCCTTTATGGTGTATACATACTACTGAGGTGAGCCAAATAACACAAAAACATTGCAGTTAGTGATAGATGTCATGATAGGAATAAAATAGGACCCTGAGATGATGGTGGCAAGAGGAGGCTATTTGAGAACCGATTAGGGGAAACAACTTGGTAGTTGACATTTGAGCTGTGACCTGAATTTATAGCAACACATGTTTGAGAGGCAGAACAGATTTGACACATGACTTGAACAGCTCTTGCGTCCATGTGTCTTTAGAGTTTCAGGAGAGTAAAGTGATAGATCATAAGAGTAAAGAGGCAGGAAATGTAAGCAAATACAAGCTTTATAAGCCAGGGGAAGGGGTTTGGATTTGACCTAAAGTGTAGATGGAAGCCATTAGGGCTGATTTCCTAGTTTCTGCAGAGTGAGTTGAAGGGGTAAGACAAAGTTAAACTGTTGGTATGAGAATAGGATGCTAGGTATAACAATGGAAAAACTGAATTAGCAGCACTTAGACTTGAAGGACAGAGTCATGGTGAGTGCACACATTTGTGAACAATCAGATACAGAAGGACCCAAATACTAGATTTTATTTAAATCTTTGAAAATTAATTTTTCTTGCTAGGTTATTTTCACCCAGAGTTGGTAGATTTAAAGTTTAACCCTCTGAATGTTTGTATTTTGTTTTCCATTAAGCTTCATCCCTGTGGTAAAACCAAGGCTTCTCCTTGCCCAATAGAGGGACTCTGTTAGCAAAATTGTTAGTATAATCTGAAGGAACTGCCTTGATATACTTATCTTTAAAAAAAAAAAGGCCGGGCGGTGGTGGCGCACGCCTTTAATCCCAGCACTCGGGAGGCAGAGCCAGGCGGATCGCTGTGAGTTCGAGGCCAGCCTGGGCTACCAAGTGAGTTCCAGGAAAGGCGCAAAGCTACACAGAGAAACCCTGTCTCGAAAAACCAAAAAAAAAAAAAAAAAAAAAAAAACCACCCAGCTCAACCACTATTTTCCCTGAGAGACTGATTGATCTTTTGCAATTTGCTTGGTTGTCTTGCTAGTTAAAGAAACTACTTTTATACATGGTCTGGGAGATTAAGTGTGTATTGGCACTTTCTTCCAAGCATGGTGACTGCTGCAGGCCGCAGGAATATATCATAAGAACTCAGCTGGTTATGGCAAAGTCACTACCTGGAGGAATCAGGGAATTCCTCCAGAGGAAGCCAAATCCCAAGGAGTTTTTGGTGTTACTTGGCTTGTTATATATCAGCTGTCTTCTGTTATGAAAATCATGTGTGCCTTCATAGTTTTTCCAATTGACTTTCTCCTAAGAAGGACTAACAGTGTAGACTGATCACTCTCTGGACATACACCATTCCAGGTATTTGGAGAATAGCCTCAGGAAAGGCTTTCTCTGGAATCAGATTATCTCCCTTAGCCACTTTCAAGGACTACAAGAAACACCACCCAGGGGGGCGCCCAACTTCCGAGGACTAACAATGATAACAGCCCACCTGCAAGTCTCCTGACTTAAATTCCACAAGGAGACACCGCCCAGGTGGGCCCCAACTTCCGAGGACTAACAATGATAATAGCCCACATGCAAGTCTCCTGACTTATGGTAAATTCCACAAGGAGACACCACCTAGGAGAGGTGGACGTTAAGTAATAGCTTTACACAATTTAGCTCGGACCCTCCCTTTATATACCGGGACTTCCAGGGCACAGAGGGGAGAAGAGAAAAGAGAATGGAAGAACTAGATGGTTAAGAAGTTGAGAGGAACAAACTGAGACAGGGAAGAACTAGATTGAAGGGCTAGAAGAGAGTACTTGAGGAATGAGATAGAAGATGAGGAAGAGTCAGATGGGAAAGCCCTAGCTGGGTAAGAACAAGGTAAAAAGGACCTAGATGAGGCAGAATTAAGACGAGAGAATTAAGATAAAACTTAAGAGGGAGCAGTAGATAAACAGAGAGGAATCAGGCAAGAAAGGAGCTAGGCACGAGAACAGAACTGAAGCTGTGTATATGTGGATGTTATGCCAGAAGAATTAAAGCAAGTGGACTATAGAGCTCGGTGTACTGAGATTCTATTTCCTGAAAATAGTCCTCGACGTTAGTAGTTCTCTTTCCTGAGCCCCTGGGATGTATAATATTGAGGCTGGTTCCTCTAATATTATACAAGAGGTGACCTGAGTTAGAACCCTAGAACCAGACTGGTAGAAGGAAGGGACTCCAATGGGACCTCCACATGCACACTAGACACACAAACTCATAAATGAGTAAATGTAAAGTGTAGGGCATCAGTGCAAGTCCTAGTTTCTCAAGACTATTTAAGTCATTGAATTTCAAGACATGTGACAATCAACTGAATCAATCCTATCGGAAATAGTTTAAGGAATTTTGTCTGATACGACATTTTGTTTTCCTTCTAGTAACTGGTATGAACCCCCTGTCTCCGTATTTAAATGTGGATCCACGCTATCTTGTTCAGGTAAGGTAAAGCTTTTTACTGGTTTGGTGTGGTGCCTTACTCTATCACAGAGTTAGTGCTTAGTGCCTACTGACTAGGAGGTACTCTTGGAGGGCTAATCTTCCAGTCTCCATGGACCCTTCCTCTCCACGAACTGGATTTGGCTTGTGCTTCTTCCTGAGGTGTATCTTCTAAGATAGTTGTTTTGTGTTTTAAATCTATTTGTTTTGTGTAAAAGAATCACAGTAAACGTAATCTTAGTGATTTTGTGGGTTTTTTGTTGTAGTTGTTTTTTGGTTTCTGTTTTTTGAGATGAGGATTCTCAGTGTAACCCTAGCTGTCCTGGAACTCACTCTGTAGATGAAGCTTGTAGGGAGGAGTCTTTGTGTTCCACCAACCAACTCCTAAATAACCACTCAGAGATTTATTATTAATTATGAAAGATCAGCCAATAGCTTAGGCTTGTTTCTAACTAGCTCTTAATTTAACCAATTTCTATTAATTTATGTGTTGTCATATGGCCTCATCTCCTGCATGTCATACTTCGTTCATGTCTTTTCATGATTTCGCCCTTTTTCTCATCATCCTCTGTGCCTGGAAATCCTGCCTGGCTATGGGCCGTTCAGCTCTTTATTAAACCAACCAACGTTACACATCTATGCGGTTTACAAAAAGATTATTCCACAACATTTCCCCCTTTTTGTCTAAATAAAAAGGAAAAGTTTTAACTCTAACACAGTAAAACTATGTACAATAAGAACAGTTATCAGGTAAGAATTACATTCATGGGCTGGAGAGATGGCTCAGTGGTTAAGAGCATATGCTGTTCTTCTAGAGGCCCCAGGTTCAATTTCCAGCACCCACATGGCAGCTCACAACTGCCTGTAACTCCAAGATCTGACACCCTTACACAAACATACATGCAGGGAAAACACCAGTGCACATAAAATGAAAATAAATAAAAAAAAATTACATTCAAAATGTTCAGCCCATTTGTATTTGGCAGATTTGGAGAAAGTACCATATTATCTATCCTATCTTAGTCCAGAGTTTTATGCCTAAACCATTTTTTGTCATAACTTGTATTACCATCCTAAAAATACCTTTTTAGACGTTAAAACTTTTTAGATAAACAGCGTAAGCTTTTATATTTCTTACCTTATAAACTTTACATCTCTTGTTTTTTTTTATTTTAATTTGGTAGCAAGGAAAACTTTAAAACTATAACTATCTTGTCTTCAGTCTCCATCAGAGACCCAAGAAGAGTAAAATATTACATGAATAAACAAGAAGTACAAAGAAAGCAACTTCCAAAACTAAGAGAAATGACAGAAATAGACAGTCACCCTAGGGTTCCTCTGTAACATTGGGCATCCATCTTCAGCCTACGGGCCTAGAATATCTGGCAGATATTTTTCGTTGTCTTTCTTATATCCACATTGAGATTTTTTTTTTTTTTTACTTACATTAAGTAACAAATCTTCCTGAAATCCAGATGATCAACTGATGTAAAATAAAATCAAATTATTTTCAATATTCATAGTGTTGTCAGCTTGAAATTAAAAAGATTTCACATAATCTTGGCCTCATAGCTTTCAGGTACAATACCTTTTCCCAATTTCATTTTTCTTCTGTGGTCGCAATACTAGTGCTTAATAGTGTTTTAGTACCACTATGTCCTAGAGTATCAGCAGTACAAACTTAAGAACATCTCAGAATATCCCCCCTGTGTGCAGTGTTTCAGCATATTTGTCAATCTTGTTTGTATGTGAATTGCTGTACACTTGTAGTGTTTACTATGGTTGATACTGGTGCTCTTGCTTGTCTTTTTTATTTCCAGTTTTTAATTAGTTGTCTATTTCTGAATTGAAGGGTAATTATTTACCTTTTCTGGTCAAGTAGAACATTTCTAAAAAGAAGAGGTTGAGAGTAATTTAAAATTAGGTCATTAGTTGGAAGCATCTCTGATAAAACTGTCAAATAGAAATTTTTTATTGTCTATCAGACCATTTTTCTGTGCTGTAAGTACATGCACATATTTGTACAATTTTTTGCTAAGAGGGTGTATACATAAGCCAGAAATGAGAAGCCCAAAACCACTTTCCTAATCAGATAGGGATTTACCAAAATTCAGTGTTTGCCACGGGGCCAGGAGAGAAGTGCTACATGTTAGTTGTTAGTGGTCTCTTCATGTTAAAAGTGGCACATTGTACACTGTGCTCTATCCATTAACCTTTTACATGGGAAGTGTCTTAGTTATTGTTTTATTGCTTTGAGAGACACTCATGACCAAAGCAACTCTTATAAAAGAAAGCATTGGATTGGGGACGTTCATACAGTTTCAGAGGGTTAGTCCATTATCGTGGCAGGAAGCAGACAAGCAGTAGCTGAGAGTTTCACATCCTGATCCACAGGCAGCAGGCATAGAGTATCATTGGGCCTGGTGTGAACTTTTTGAAACCTCAGAGCCACCCCAGCTAAACACCTCCTCCAATTAGGTCATACCTCCTAATCCTTCCAAACATTTCAGTTAGAGACTAAGCTTACAAATATATGAGCTTATGGGGTCCCTTTTCATTGAAATCACCACAAGAAGCTTGGCAGAAATGAAAGTGTCCTTCATAAAAGTGTATTGATTTCACCATTTGCTTCCATGAAACTGTTGGGGTTTTATTTTAAAAATGATTTGTTTAGGGACTGAAGAGGTGACTCAGCCATTAAAGAGCACTAACTGCTATTGCAGAGGACTCTGGTTCCATTCCCAGCACCCACATGGTGTCTCACAACTGTTCCTAACTCCAGTTCCAGGGGTCCAGTGCTGTCTTCTGTTGTCCTTGAGCACCAGACATGATGTGCTTCATATACATACATGCAGACAAAATACTCAGACAATAAATAAATCTAAGGCAGAAAGTATAGTAGCTCTTTAAAAGTGCACATTTTTGCTATTATTGGAGTAGCATCTCCCAACTAAGGTTTTGGGGTGGAGATACATGCTAAATTTGTGTACATAATAAATTTGTGTATGCATTTCCTAGAAAGAAGTTCTACAGTTGTCTACAGGTAATCAAAGAAGTATATATCCCCTGTGCAGTTTGGAGTTATTAATTGGAACGGCTGGAGTGCTTGCAAAGCCTTGCATTCTTCAGAACTGAAAACAAACAGAAGGGTCCTACAAGTTGGTGCATACCTATAATCAGTCTGTACACTTTGGAAGTAGTAGAGGTAGGACAATCAAGAGTTCAAGGTCATCCTCACATACATAGCAAGCTTATAACTACTTGAGGCCCTGCCTTCGAAAAAGAGAAGTTATTAAGGGGGTAATTTTTGGTTGTATGATCTTGCTTCCAGACTGTTAGTCAACCAGTATGACTCAGCTTTCAGTGTTCCTTTCTTTAGGGCCATTGTTTCTAAATACTTGCACTGTTGTTTAAAGTTTATCATTAAAGTAGATTGTATACAACCTTGTCCGATTTACATTATGAAAGAATAGATGGAGTAATTGAAAGTTCTGAATGAGAGTCTCTCCAAAAAGTTCAATGTGTTATGCTCATGTCACTTGTCACTTCTAGAGTAACAGAATTTGTAGGCTGAATTTATATACATATATAAAGGGAATTTATTAGAACAGCTTGCAGGCTGTGGTATAGCTAATCTGACGATGGCTGTCTGCCAACGGAAGGTCCAAGAGTCCAATAGTTGTTCAGTCCACAAGGCTGGATGTCTCAGCTAGTCTTCAGTATACACCAGAATCCCAAAGAAGTAGGCTCTAATGCCAGTGAAGGAATAGACTTGACATGCTAGTGAGAGCAAGCAGGCAAAGAGCAAGCTTCCTTCTTCCATGTCCTTTACATAGGCTGCCACCAGAAGGTGTGGCCAGATTAAAGGTGGATCTTCCCCCTCTTAAAGATCCAGATTAAAAGTGACTCTTCCCACTTCAAATGATTTAATTAAGGGGAAAAAACCCCTCACAGGTATACCCAGCTGCTTGAGTTTAGTTAATTCTAGATGAAGTCAGTTGACAACCAAGAACAGTTATCTCATCACTTTTGACTTATGGGCTGGCTATTAGTGCAGACAGTTTTATTTTTGCTTGAATATGATAGATGCGTTTGCATTAATTTGATTGTTTACTTATTTTAAAATTACTTGGAAAAGTTGAAGAACCTGTCATCCAAGCACTTAGGAGGCTGAAGCCAGATAATTCTAAGTTCCAGGCCAGCCTAGGCTACATAATGAAACCCTGTCTCATAAACTGAAAGAAAAAGGTAGGAAGAAAGTTAACAGCTATTCCAGGGAGCACTCATCTTGCTTTTCCTTCTTACCCTTTAGGATACCGATGAGTTCATTTTGCCAACTGGAGCTAACAAAACCCGAGGCAGATTTGAGCTAGCTTTCTTTACCATTGGAGGATGTTGCATGACAGGTGGGTAGTATATTTTTTTATGTCCTTATATCTAAGTAGTTATTGGTGCTTAATATGAAAAATAACTAGAATATTGTTTTCAACTTAAAACATATATCACACTTTTTATTCTATAAAAGAAGCCAGAAACATAAAGCTTTTTCTTTTTTTCTTTTGGCTGAATTGTTACGATTCATCACCAGGGGCTGCATTTGGGGCAGTGAACGGTCTGCGGTTAGGATTGAAGGAAACCCAGAGCATGGCCTGGTCCAAACCAAGAAACGTACAGTAAGTCTATGAAATCTTTTGATGGACTGATGTTTGCATATTAACCTCAGCTTTGTTGTTTGATGGTTACCACACTGTGTTAATAAAATGCTTAGAGAATTAACATTACCCCCTCCCCTTTTAAAATATTTGGTTTGTTTGGTTTTGTCTTTCCAAACAATAAGAAACCAGATTACTGTGTACTTTTTTTTTTTTTTTTTTGGTTTTTCGAGACAGGGTTTCTCTGTGTAGCTTTGCGCCTTTCCTGGAACTCGCTTTGGAGACCAGGCTGGCCTCGAACTCACAGAGATCCGCCTGGCTCTGCCTCCCGAGTGCTGGGATTAAAGGCGTGCGCCACCACCGCCCGGCCAACTGTGTACTTTTTAGAGGAGTGATTTGAGTTGGTGTCTTCATTCAGCTGGACTACCCCGACCTGATTTCTTGGCTTAACATGTGTTCTGTTCTCCAAACTTGTATGGCATGCTTTTTCAATTGTTGAGTAGCTAATAGGGAATTTTGATTGTTTGGGGGCCTGTAGCAGTAGAGTACTTGATGGGATGAAAGCCATAGCTAGATTTATTAGCTCCTTGCTGACATGCTTCTTTTCTGAAACTCTCAAATAAAATTTCTAGAACTTGAAGATCATTATTGTGTGTGTGTGTACATGTGTGTAGGCATCCGTGTCTGTGGGGGGTGGGTGCATGCGAAGGCTAGAGGTAAACCCTAAGGTGTCTTCACAGGAGCTGTTCGCGTTATCCAATGAGCCAGCTTCCCTTGCCCATTACCGAGCACTAGAAGCTCTGACTTGCAAGTGTATTGCTCTGCCAGAAGATGGCAGCAGGCGTGCTAGAGTTAGGCCTGGGAAACCTTAAAGGCCTGCCAACATTTTCCCTGTTCCTGTCACTGCATGAATCCCTCCCTGTATTAACAATTTAAATTCTGTAGTATGAGAAGCCAAAATAGTGTAATAAGTACCTGTGAACCTAACTCTTCTACAACAACCATCAGCCATGGCCAGTCATACCTAGTTTCTTCTCTTGATTGTTTTGAACCAAATCCCCAACCAATGTTAAATATGAATTTAGAAGTAGAAAGTCTCTTAGAAAAGGTACTATACTTCAGTTTTTAAAACAATAGCAATGTAATCTTTCTCGTCTTCCCATTATTGGAAAGCAGCAATTAATAATAGAGAAAAGGTAGAATTTGCAGCCAAGCACATTGTGTATAGCTTCATAATCCTAGTTTAATTATTTAGTATTTTGTAATCTTGAGTAAACTTCTCTACTTCCTGCCTTGCAGAGTTGTGGAAAGGTGATAAAAGTGAGAACTAGGTAAAGACCCATTAAATGGAAATGTACCAAAGTAATAATGAAAATTAATAATTTTTAAGCTTGTCTAAAAATTTAAAATCCATGTACTAGACTTATGTGTTAATAAATATGTAACATAACTAACTAGAAAATATATTTCTCCATAGTCATTACTAGGTTTCTAAACATTTTGAAAGTAAACACATTTTTGTTGCTATGAATCTTTGAGTTCTTACTGTTTGTGGTTGTACTTCGTTATTTCCAGTAGTAGTCAGCCATCCCAGACACATTCCTGTGATGGTGTTACACTGCTGGGAGAGTACTGGGTGGTCTTTACCTGGTTGCTGCATCACTGTTCTGGTGGGCTGTGACTCTGGTGTAAGATGGACCTGTGCTTCCTTGAGAGTGTGCTAAGCATTCATTTTGACTGCTTAGTTCTAGTACGGGAGCAGACAACACTTTCTCCGTGTAGTCTAGTAATGAAGCTCTTCCTTTCTCCTCAGGTCGGCTTTGCATTGTATATACTCTTGTCCTTTCCATTGATTCTACTTGATATTCTGAAAAGAGACTCTTCCCAAAAGAAACCCAAACCCTTGTCACAGTTACAGTGGCATGGTTTTACGTAGATCAGTTTGTAAAATACATTTCAGGCTGTGATTCAAAGCCTTTGTGTATTTAATCTGTATTGAATAATTTTATATCTTTACCTAAAGGACTTTTCTTTAGTCATTGCCTAGAGTGTTTGAAATTTTTTTTTATCATAATCCTCATTTATGTAAAGTAACAACCTTTTTTATTAAAATCTGGGGTGATATTAATGTATATTTTAAAGTTGCACAAACATTGAGGCTTGGGTCTAGGTGTTTTAAATAGCTACTATTATGGTTTATAAGAGTATTAGAGAAATAATGATCCCAAATACATTTTTTTCTCATTCTTCCTTGGTAGGATTTTGAATATGGTGACTAGGCAAGGGGCACTTTGGGCTAATACTCTAGGCTCCCTGGGTAAGTATAAATTTCATTTGATGAATCTTTTGTTTTGAGACAAGGTCTCATGAGGCCAAGTCTGGCCTCAAACTTGTTATATACTTGAGGATAAACTTGGAATTCTGATCCTCCTGGTCCCAACCTCCAAGTTCTGAAATTACAGGTGTGCTCTGAGGAACAAATGCAGGGCTCTATGCATGCTAGGCAAACAGTCCTCTGCTGTAAAGAAAGGCTGTGCAGTTATCATAAGCAATTTGGTCAACTAAAATTCTGGTAATAGGCTAAACAATCAACATTTCAATACACTCTGGTAAATATTGTAGCTATCATCTATGAAAAGACTTGTAAGTGCTACCCTACTTGTCTAAATAGTATGCCAAGTAAAATCCTGTTTTAAACTAAATGATGTCCAAGACATAGGGCTATACCTGCTAGAAAGGTTCAAAGTCCTGCAGTGAGACGTGACAGATCTGCAGACCTTTTGCTTTGTTTTCCTAATAGCCTGTTGAGTAGTCAGTTCATCTGTAGATTTCCAGAACCTAAATGGCAGGGCTGCCGTAAGTCTTTGTAGATAAGGAAAGCATTCTCAGTTACAGACAAGGGGTAAGTAATTTAGTGCTGCTTAGTCAGAACCCAGTGCTTTCATCACTTACTGTTCATAAGTAGTTTGTTCTTTTGATTGCTGGTGATTTATAATCTACTTGTGGCACATAGGCCTTAGCGTCTAAGGTTTTCATAATTTATAGACAAGCTGAACTTATGGTACTCTTCTTACTTGTAGCAGAATAAGTAAGAGAAAATGTAGACAAAATTGTTGAAAAAATAAAAGGCCTCTATTGTAACTTGGTAAGATTCTAGCCTTGGCTATGGCATTTGGAAGCAGTACATTTTCACACCATAAAGCCAAATTCACATTTTGTATTCTGACAAATGGCAGCTTTGATGTTCTGCTTGTGTCTACAACCCTGAAACACTACCCTACACACACAAGTCATGGCCATCTGTTCTTTTATAATTGCTTATATACCTAGGAAACTTCAGCAGTCCATGCCTACATTACAACTTGCTTGTTTTTAGCACTGAAAATTGTACATTCAAGAAAATCCTACAATTCTAGGCAGAGTGGAATAGATGGCCACTCTGTTGGTTACTGTGTTTTTCCATTATAATATGATGTGACTGGTCACAGTGGTATTACATGATCATTTTCAGTTGAATGTGTTTAACAGAAAGACTAGCTTTCATAAAAGTAGAGAAGTTCCACAACAGACCAAGGGTAAGGCTGAGAAAGTATAAGGAAAGGCAAGTATACTGGGTTTGTTTTTGTTTTTTTGAGCCAGGGTCTCTCTTTAGTTTTTGCCAGCTTGCTATGTTGACTACTCTGGCCTGGAACTCAGAGATCCACCTGCTTTTGTAGCTAGAGTTTTCCTGCCTGGCCCACAGTCAGGACAAATCTCTATCACCTGCCAGTCCCACAGCCGCTCAGACCCGACCAAGTAAACATAGAGACTTATATTGGTTACAAACTGTATGGCCGTGGCAGGCTTCTTGTTAACTTTTTTTACAGCTTAAATCCATTTTTATAAATCTATACCTTGCCACATGGCTCGTGGCTTTCCGGCATCTTCACATGCTGTTTGTCATCATGGCGGCTGGCAGTGTCTCTCTGACTCAGCCTTTCACTTCCCAGCTTTATTTTCCTCCTTGTCCCGCCTATACTTCCTGCCTAGCCAATGGCCAATCAGTGTTTTATTTATTGACCAATCAGCAACACATTTGACATACAGACCATCCCACAGCATGCTTCTGCCTTTAGAGCACTAGTATTAAAGGTGTGCACTACCCAGGTATCCATGATAACGAAAAGTGGTAAGAAAGTAGTATAATGCATATTGTGCCTGATAGATAAAGTACATATAAAGATTTGGCTGAAGGTACTGTAAAACTACAGGGTTTTGTAACATGTGAAAGTCATACCTCAAATTCTTTTATTGATCCTGTGTGCGAGGTTTTTGTTGATTTGGGAAGAAGATGACAGGACTTTACTATGTAGCCCTGGATGGACTAGAACTTGGCATGTAGACTAGGCTGGCCTCTAACTCACAGAGATAACAGCTATTATAGGTAGCATAAGTAAAACTAAAATATTTTTCTTGGACTCTGCAGTAATACTTTCTAGAAATAGTATTTATTCTATATCTTCACAACCCCTTCTTGGCATAACCAGTCAGTTGTATGCTACTACACATGTGCCTGCTTTATGTACCAGTGAATGTAGGTCTTTCCAGCTTTTTTGTTCTTGTTTTTTTTTTTTGTTTTGTTTTTTTGAGACAGGATTTCTCTATGTAGCCCTGGATGTCCTAGAGCATGCTCCGTAGTCCAGGTGGCCTCAAACGCAGAGATGCACCTGCCTCTGCCTCTCAAGTGCTGGGATTAAAGGCATGCACCAGCATTGTCTGGCATCTTCCTAGCTGTAACGGTGGTGTTCTGTGATATGGAAAGTCCATTTCTGGATCAGTGCAATGATACAGATGTTCTTGGAGGACATTTTGTTTCTGGATTTTTCCTATTAGAAGCAGTGCTCTAGTGATGGTTCTGGCTATGTCTTTGGGTGTGCATACCTAATATGATTACCATGCTAACTTTCACCACTGATCTCTGTTTCTGCTTTAGCCTTGCTCTATAGTGCATTTGGTGTTATCATTGAGAAAACACGAGGTGCAGAAGATGACCTCAACACAGTAGCAGCCGGAACCATGACGGGAATGTTGTATAAATGTACAGGTAGGCGGTACTGAGTAGAGAACTGAAATATGTTTTTTGTCTGTAATATTCAGAGGAAATCATCTGTATTTTATATTATTTACAGTGCAACCACCTTAGGGTTATTAAGGGTTTTGTTGTTAACATGGGGGTTTCATTGTAGGCTGGTCTTGAACTCACCATTCTGCCTTACCTTCCAGAGTACTGGAAGGTACTGTGCCCAGTATTTGTCCCTCCTTCAGCTCGTGGCAATCTCATATTCTCTGCCTTTGCTACCTCACATAAGCAGAACGATACAGTATTTGTCAAACTTTTGTGACTGGCATACAATTTCATTGAGCATTTCTTCATTCCATCCATGTTATGTCATGCTTCAAAATCTCCTCCTCTTAACAATTGTGCTTAATATCATCATTTCTGTATCTGTTCTTATATCAGATGATGAAGTGTCTTGTTTGTAAGTCAGGACCTTTTTCCATAAACAAGCTGAAATTAAGGCAAGATAAGCTGTCTTTACCTGCTGACCTAGGCTAAGTAAATCTTAGTCTGATTCAAAAGTCTATTGTCCTTTTTTTAAAAAAGCCATAATCACATTGTCTCTTGAATGGAGAAATAAGGGAAATTTTAGAAAAAGGATGGGGTAATAGTTGAGCTGGGGGAATTTCAGATGTATCTGTTAGTCATATGATACCATGAGAAAGGTGTGGGACACAAGTCTGGAAGAGAGTTTTACATTTGGAACAGAGGAAGCCAGAGTGAGAAGTTTAAATTTAGGTTAAAAGTTATCAGAGATGTTTGAATAAGGAATTACTAGAATTGAACTGGAGAGATGGCTTGGCCATTGGCTGCTCTTCCAAAGGACCTGGGTTTGAGTTTCAGTTCCCACAAGATGGCTCACAGGCATCTGTAACACAGCCAGTCTTAGGGGAATCCGATGTCCTCTTCTGTCCTCTGTAGGCACTGCATGCATGTCATGTGTGTACTCAATGCAAGCAAAACACCAATATATAATCAGTGAAAGAATTATTATAGTCATACTTATGGGAGGTGGTCAGAAGGTAGAAGCACAAAGTCAAAGTAGAGCTGGGTGGTGGTGGCACATGCCTTTAATTCCAACACTCGGGAGGCACAGGCAGGCAAATCTCTGATTTCCAGGCCAGCCTGGTCTACAGAGCAAGCTCTAGGATAGCCAGGGCTGTACAGAAAAACCCTGTCTCAAAAACCCTAAATAAATAAATAAAAGTCAAAATAGTTAAGGAATACATCTAGTGATGGTTAAGGTTTATGATATTAGCCTCAACTCAAATGACAGACGGTAAACTTCACAACTAATGAAGGCATGTGGGGGAAAAGGTACATAGTAAAGACAGTTGGATTAGGCTGGGAATGTAATTTAGTTGGCAGAATACTTGCCTAGCATACATGAAATTGTGTTGGGTTAGATTTTTAGTGCTAGATAAAATCAGATGTCGTACACATGTGTAATCCCATCACTCTGGTGGTAGGGAATCAAAAGTTCAAGGTCATTTTTAGCTGTGTAGGAAATTTGAGACCAAGCTTGCCTTGAAGAGACATTGTCAAAATGCAAAACAAATAGAAATCTAGTTTGTAACATGGTAAAAAACAAACAAACAAACAAACAAACAAAAAAGCCATTGTATTATTAGTTATTAGTTGAATTTTGCTTTGCTGGCCAAAATGTCTGACAGAATCAACTTGAAGGAGGGAATGTTTGTTTGGAGCAGGGAAGACCTATAGAAGCAGAGCAGTTGATGTTATAGCTTGCCAAGAAGGGTGGCACACAAGCTTATGGTGAAATGGGAATACCATTTGGAAGATAAGACTTAATCAAAAGTCCAGTTAATTCCTAGCCTTTACACTGGCCCATGAGGCTCACTCCTCTACCTGATTTGATCCCTTAATACATTGAAGGCTCCAGAGTAGACCATTCTTTCCTCTGACTTGTAACACGAATCTTAAAGAGTCTAATTAATAAAAGACACGGGAGCCAGATATTGGGGTGAACGCTGAAATATCAGAGAAACAGAACAAGCTACAGCCAGGCTCACCTTGCCAATTCCTCAGCTGATCTTATTTCCTCAAAATTGGAAGCATCTGTGTCCTTGTCCTAATGGATCTCAGCTGAACTGCTGCTAAAAGCCTAAAAGCTTAAAAGCCTCTAGTTCCTGGTCCTCATGCCTTATAATACCTTTCTGCTTCCTGCCATCACTTCCTGAGATTAAAGGTGTATGTCACCATGCCTGGCAGTTTCCAGTGTGGCCTTGAACTCACAGAGATCCAGATGGATCTCTGCCTCCCAAGTGATAGGATTAAAGATGTGTGTGCCACCATTTTCTGGCCTCTATGTCTTTCTAGTGGCTGTTCTGTTCTCTGACCCCAGATAAGTTTATTAGGGTGCACTGTATATTGGTGGACACAATATCACCACACTGACTTTTACCTCTCATTTAAGGGCCTTTATTTTTATTGTTCCCTTTTCTTAGCATGCTCTTTCCAAATAATGATTTTTACTAATTCTCATCTGTCTTTGTTTATATATGGCTTTCTTGAGACCTCCCTTAAACATTGCAGTACATAAAAGTTCTGTGCTGCAGGATAAATTGCTGAATGCCAGATTACTTAAGCAAAAAAAAATCTGCATATTAAAAGTGATAGTAACTATTGCCAAAGTGATCTTTGACGATTTTATGTGCCTTTATCAGTTTGAAGTATCATCTACCCTATTTTTAAGCTTTATTTTTATTATTTTTAGTTATGTGTAATTGTGTTAGTGCCTGCATGTGAGCATGTGCACATGGAGGACACCCTAGATGTTGAAACCCCTAAAGCTGGAGTTACAGATGGTTACGGCTGCCTGATGTAGGTGCTGGGAATCTAACTTAGTCCTCTGGAAGAACTACAAGTGTTCTTAATCACTGAGCTATGTCTCCAGCCCTACCACTGTTTTGAAATAAATGCCAGTTGGTGAAAGATAGTTTTTGTTGTTGTTATTAGTTTGGTTTAGTTTTGAGACAGTGTTTCGCTCTGTGAACCAGGCTGGCTTCAGACTTATGGGGAATCCCCCCAGCCCCTTCCTAAGTGACGGAACAACGTAAGCCAAAAATAGTGTATTGTGTTTCACTTTGTTTTTCACTGGTTGGTGATTGGGCGACTTCTGTTATTTATTGCCATTGTAATTTCCCTGAAGCCCTTTCTCCTTTCCTATTGGGTGTGCCTTCAATTAATTTATTGAAACATTTTCAACATTTTGACAATTAGCCTTTTACCTATTACATGTGCTATGTGACATTTTATTTCATTTTAAGCTGGGCTTGTGATACCAACTGTAATCCATTTCTGTTCAGCTACCATCTATCTCAGGATACTGAGATGGGAGGATTACAAGTTCAAGGCCAACCTGGACAATTTCTTTATTGAGACTCTTTCAAAAAGTAAAGATAGGATCAGGCTATCGCTCATGGGTAGAATGCTTACCTATCATTCGTGAAACTCAAGGTTCAATTTCCAGTGCTTCAGGAAAAAAAAAAGAAAAACATCTTTTTAATTTGATACTTTAAAATAGCAGTAGTAGAAAAAGGTCATCAAGAGATCCTTTGGAATGTGCAGTTGAATTCTTCTGTAGGTCTGACATTTAGTTTTGACATTGGTAAAGAGAACCATTTAACTAGTGGTAATGCTGATACTTTTGAAATTTGACGTACTGACTTTGAGTATCCTTTCACTAACTTTACTTTTATAAACAGACATTTCTGTGGAAAGCTAAGATTAACAGAAGGCATTAGGAGAGAAAGCAGACTACTGTCTGTTGGCTTCTTGGGCCTTATTTCCCAAATATATGTTACAAGCTCACTCTAAGATGCATGCTTGTTGATGGCAAAACTGTAGCTGTTTTTATGGTAACGTGATCATTATTAAATGGAATGGATTCTCGTGTTATGTGGAATCTTAACTCCCATCCTTTAGGAAAAAATAGCATAAGCATTAGACTGGATTAAAATCATGAAATCCCGCGCCCCCCCCCCCCCCCCCCCCCATCTTTTTTGAAACAAGGTCTCATGTAGCCAAGGCTGGTCCCCAACTGGCTCTGTCTAAAGATAGACTTGAACTCCAGATAGACTTGAACTCCTGGTCATCTAGATTCTGCCTCCCAGGTCTCAATGCTCAGCTTGAGTTTTTCCTTCTGCTCTAGGAGCTCCATAATAGTTTACATTGAAAGTGTTGTCAAATATGCTGGGTGGTGGTGGGGTACACTTTTAATCCCAGCACTAAGGGGGCAGAGACAGGCAGATCTCTGAGTTCAGGGCAAGTTTCAGGACAGCTCAAAAAAACAAAAAAAAAAAAAAAAAGGTGTAAGATCCTTGAATCTAGAAGTTGAAGTTCTGTTTGTATTCTGCCACACAGTTTGACCCTGTGTTCTGTCTATCCTCTAGAGTTTTGCTTTAAATCAGAAGTTAAGTACTGGTTTGCTTTTGTTGAAGTGACTTCAATGTGAACTGATGTTGGGAATTTCGGTCAGCAGATATTGTCAACTGTTCCCCCATTGCAATTGCTTAGTTTCACAATTGGCAATCCTTGCCACTTGACATGGAATTTTTTTGTCTTAAAGCAAATTTGGTACATTTTTAGGTTCAAGGTTACCAGCAAACAGGAAATAGCATTGTTTGAGAGATGAGGACTATATGTGGGTGACTTGGAGCTTCCACACCCTTCCCTTTTGGGTTAGAAGCACCTCCTACTCACTTGGAGCTCTTTGCATCATGCATATGCGTTTTGTATGAGGGCTCCTGTTTTTAATTATTTAAAGCATAGTATGGTGGTTCGTGCATGTGGTCCCAGCACTGGAAATCCCAGGCACTGGGGAGCTGTAATGCTGGGGTTATAAGCTTGGATTAGAGACATGTACTACTATACCCAATTTATGGGGTGCTGGAGATTGAACTCAAGGCTTCATACATTCTAGGCAACTACTCTTATCAACTGAGCTATATCTCCAGGCCCCC